TGTCCTTTGGACCGGGGTCCCTGTGCAGAGAAGCTCCTAGTCCGGGGGAACACTGATGAGAAGGCTGAGAGAGAGAAAGCCTTCCCCTGGAGCTGACACCCTGAATTTGGACTTTCAGCCTACTTTACTGTAAGGAAATAAATTTCTCTTTGTTAGCCATCCACTTGTAACATTTTATTAACCTCAATTCTCCCTTTAGCTACTGCCCAATTTCCTTGTGTTCGTTTATCACAAAAGTTCATAAGAGAACTGCCTGTGGTGGTTGTCTCCAATTTATCCCATCTCATTCTCTTTAAGATTTTAATTGTGAAAAATAAGACGCATTGATTAGTGGATAAAACATAAATGTTCTAGTTGGTGGATGAGGTATGTGGAGTGAGGTAAAGAGGGAAGGCAAGAATCACTCCTAATGGTGAGATAATATCTGTTGCACTTCATAATATCCACTTTTAAATTGGGATGCTGAGTTTTAACTCCTGATGTGTAGTTAGTGAATCTCTTGACAAGAATTTTCTTTTCAGTGTTTTATCATGGTCATAGTTTTACAACTCTTAATACTCTAAACCACATCTTTTTCTTTGACATCAGCATTGTATTTATCTGTTTATTCAGGTATCCTTTCTCCCCCCCATTATCATGACATCTTGTTGAGGGCCACCACTCATCTGTTAGTTTGTCATGCTGTGGTGCCTTGCATATAGCTATGATACTGGAAGCTATGCCACCAGTATTTCAAATACCAGTGGGGTCACCCATGGTGGACAGGTTTATCCAACGAGATGGATTGATATAGTGGCTGCAACAATAGGCTCAAACATATTTACTATTGAGAGGATGGCACAGGACTGGCATTGTTTCGTTCTGTTATATATGGGGTCGCTATGAGTTGGAGCTGACGACCTAACAATCATGACATAGACTGAACCCCAAAGTGTCTGGAAACACAACCTATGTATTTTTAGATTATGCCAATAGAAATATCTTAAATTTACAATTTCTTATTCTGAGTGATAATACATAAGTATGAAAATTTTCCATTAAAAGCTATAATATTCATCATCACTGCATATAGATGGATAAATTCAAGAAAAGTTAGTTCCTCAAATGTTTCATTTCAGCCTTTAATTCATTCAGAAAAATGTTTGAGCACTTACTATGTGCCAGGCATTTTATTATATGCTGGGGGAAGCAATGGTGAAGAAAACAGACATAGTCCTCTGTCTCATAGAGTTTATTTTCATGTGCTATTGTAATAAAGATATTTTTATTTTAGGTTTTGGCAAATCATTTTAATTGACCTTATAATTTCCTCCTTATATGCAGCTTTTTATGCTGTGTCTTTTGGAGGATTCCTGTATTTTGCCACCTACTTTCCATATACCATCATCTCTCAAAGCTATGCAAAGATGACACTCATCCAGAAGCTGGCTTCTTGTCTCAGCTCAAATATTGCAATGGCACTGGGAACTCAACTCCTAATAAAGGCAGAAGCGGATAGTGAGTAGTATTTTGCCTTGCTCTGGTAGATATATATCTTTGCTGCCTATCGGATATTCACATTTTAATACTGCTTGATATTGCTAAACTGCCCTCCAAAAAATTAGACTACTTTATATCATCCACTATAGTGTGTGTGTTCCCACATTCCTTCTAAAAATTTACTACAAGTCTGTTAGGGCCTCTTCCTACTCCTCTTCCAGAATTGCCACCCTCTGTCTAGTGGTAGAGGAAGAAGCAACATGGGTTTGCTTTTAGTAATTTCTTTCTTCCTTTTTCCATCCATGCATTATCTACAAAAGATTCTTCTACTCATTTGTTCTGTAGTCAGCATCTGTCCCAACTTCTCAATGATTATAAATATTTTTCCAAAACTATATATTCTTGTGAACATTCAGCTAGCATGAGGAGGGGTGGAGAGAGAAAGGTCACTTCTTAATCCATAGGTCTGTTTATTGTTTTTAAAGCTTGTTCTCCTGACCTTTTGTATATTTTATTTTTGCTTCAGTTATTAACAATTACTTTTTGGTTTAGGGTATAGAAGAGAGTGCCTTTCATGAGTACGTACTCAGTTGTCCCCTTGGACAACCTAAATTCTAAGGGTATAAGAAAGTAGTTGTTCACAGTAGGTATCTCTAGAGAGTAAAAACACATTCTTTTTCTTTACTGTTTAATTATGATGGAGATAAATAACTCTATTTTAGTCTCAGTTGGAACCTATGTTAAGTGTCTCCTGTTGTGTTTTAGATATTGGAATAAAATGGAGTAACATTTTGTCATCAACACAAATGGATAACTTTGTCTTTGCGTATGTACTGGGAATGCTTTTATTTGATGCTTTTCTGTATGGCCTTGTGACCTGCTATATAGAAGCTGTCTTTCCGGGAGAGTATGGTGTGCCCAAGCCATGGAACTTTTTCTTGCTGGTGAGTTACAATGCTTCTGGTATGGAGAGAGACCACAATCCTTAAGAACCTGTTTGGTAATAGCTGTGAAAACCAACATGAATTAATTTTGAATTAAATTTCTATAATTTAATCAATAGATCAAGTGAAAGAATAATTTTCACCTATACTCCAGCCATGCTGAGTCACTAGCCTTTTCATAATACATTTTAAGCCCTCTTATATATATATATATAAATGTAATTAATCTGTCAGTCATGGCCTGCAACCCCAAACTTTACAAATTGTGCCTTTTCCAGCCAAGTGTTTCATAAAAGATTGAACTCAGGGCATAAAGAAATGAATATATGGTGGGTGTTTGGATGCCAGTGTGGAGAGGTTTAGTTATTTCCCATATCTGGGCACTGACTACCTGCTTCATTTCTTGAGTTAGCCCAGATAGCTTAGAGTTAGAACCACAGATAATGGAGGGCATCTACATTTTGCCCTCGATTCTCAGTCTTTTCCCTTAATGCCATTGGCTTATATATGGCTCAGAAAAGTGATACAGTACTTTTCACTGTGAGATCATTTTGGAGTTATAATTTTAATAGAATATGCTGTTTTATACCATGGGGATTCAAATTATAGCCAATTATCTCCAAAATTTAATCCCAAGAAATTTCCTGCAATTCATTGTAATACAAAACAAAACAGGTCAAAATATTTTTAAATGCTTCATTTTTCAGTGCCATCATAGTGATTACATTTTTTTCCCCTTCTTAGCACTCTTATTGGTCTGGGGAACCAACTGAGAGGAGTAACGAAAGAATCGAATTTTATGAATCACTTCAAAGCCAGTATTTTGAGGCTGAGCCTGCTGACCTGGTGGCAGGTGTCCAGATCAAACATTTATGCAAGGTATTGTTTCACAGGTCTCATTTTCTTGATGGGTCTGAAATTTAGTTTACAGTTTATTATAAATGTTTGTTACTGAAAATACCAAGAAAAATAATCACATACGAATAAAAGGTCATAGTCATCATGTTTCCTTTCTTTGAGAAAAATCCAAATGAAATTTATGTAATATATTACAAAAAGCCACATCTTTCCTTTCTTCTTCCTCCAAAATAGAATTAGGTTTTCAGTAAACTATAGTAGTATCTACAAATGTTCTTGTTTTTAAAAGTAGAGCCAAAGTGGAGCCTGATGATTAAAGTATGTGAACATTAATTTTTTGTTCACAAATATTTATTGTTGCTTGAAACCACTAAGTTTTGGTAATTTATTACTCAGCAATAGAGAACTAAAATAGATGTGGGTACCTGGAAGTTGGATGCTGCCACAACAAAAATCTAAAAATATGGAAGTTACCTTCGTACTAGGCCGTGGGTAGAAGTTGCAAGAACCTTGAGGAGAATGTTAGTGAAAGCCTAAAGGGCTTGCAATAGATTGTTAGCAGAAGCCTGATGTCTTGGAGGTGGCTGCCTTTGAGAGGTTAAAGGGAAGTGAGGAAAATGTTACTGAAAACTGGAGGAAAGAAGATCCTTGTTATGTAATGGTAGAAAGTTTATCAACATTGTCACCTGTGGTAATGTGGAAAATAGAAAAAGTACCTAAGTGGCCTAAATGTTTACACTAAGGAGATTTCCAGGCAGATTGTTGAAGGAACATCCTGGCTTCTTCTTGTTGCCTTGTAGTAAACTATAGTATAGGTATGAGGAGAGAGATAAGCTAAAGAAAGGACTGTGAAACATGAAGGATCCAGATAACTGGTTTTGAGAATTCCCAACCTCTCCAGATGGCAGATGCTGTTAAAATTAAGAAATGTCTTCTAAGCAAAGATTAATTCTAGAGCACTGTCAGAAAAACATGATCTAAAGTTGAAGCCAAGTTGGTGACTGTAAATCCCTTTATTTGAAGACCTCAGAAAGATCTAAGGTGGTGCCTCAGAGAACTATTCAGTGGCACAATAGAGATTCTAACAATCTGAGGGCATTATTCTTCAGGAGCCTGAGAAGAAAGCCAAGGTAGAGAAGGGATTATCTCAGATATATTTGTGTGTATGGCTCTTGTGTCTAGATAAACTCAGTGTCTTAAAGAGAGTTATACTAGAAGACATACCACCAGCTTGTACCTAAAAGTACAGAGAGAGTACAAAATGAAAAGAGGCCTTTGAACCACCAAACTTCTAGAGGCAGAAATAGGTTGAAAAGCTGAGCTGCAAACATGGGCTGCTTTTCATGGCAAAGGAAGGATGACTCAGATACCAGAACCAAGCCCAGAGGGTGGAGCTAAGGTTGATGGAGAATTATTCTCTGGTCTTATGTCCTAATCAAGGAATTGTCAACATGTGCCCTGCTGGAGTTCAGAAATTCTATGGACAAGTGACTCCTGTGTGCTTTGTGTTTTCCCCTTTTTTGAATGGGAGTGTGATAGTGGTTAACCTACATTTGTCCCACCATTTTATGTTGGGTTTGTGTGTGTGGAGGGTGAGGACCGATTTCTTGAATCTTTGGTTCAGAGTTATTCTGATCGTGAGGAATTGTACTTGAGGAGGCATTATCAAGAACTATAACAGAGGCGCCTCATTCACACCTTGATGTGATTTAGGTGACACGATCCTGGAGTTTGAGCTGATGCTGTAAATGATTGAGAGTTTTGTGGAACTTGGGAACAGGTGAAAATATTTTGCAAGTGGCAGGAATATGCATCGTTGGAGTCAGGGGGGACTATAGTAGCCAGCCTCACGATGGCTGCCAGGGATTCTCCTGATATTCATACCTACGTGTTGTCCCTTCCTACAATGAATAGACCTGACCTGTGTGGCCCATAGAATATTGTAGAAGCTAGGGTACATGACTTTCAAGACTAGGTAATAAAAGGCATTGTGGCTTCTGCCTTGGTCTCTTGAATTGCTTGCTCTGGGGGAAACCAGCTACCGCGTCATTCACGCTGTTTTATGGAGTTGCTTATGTGGACAAGAGCAGAGGTTTCAGAGAAACAACCAGTACTAACTTGCCAGCCATGTGAGTGAGCCTCCTTGGAAGAAGTTGCCCTGGTCTCAGTCAAGCCTTCAGATGATTGCAGCCCAGGTCAACATCTTGAGTGCAACCTCATGGAAGACCCTGAACTTCTTCCACCCAACTAAATGACTGTGTTTTACAGGTGGGCCTAGAGGACACTTGCCAAAGCAATAAGGAATGTGCTAGTGAGAGAGACCCCAACATCACTGAAAACTGCTGACAGTAGGAGATACTATTACAAAGCTGGACTCACTGGTAACAGTGGAGATGACAGAATTCCAAAATAATAGAGGCTAGAGGATGACACAGGAAGCAAAAAAGTATCATAATAAGTGGCCAGTTTGTAACAGCAGTCAGGAAGTGCCTAATCCACAAATGATGGTTAATGAAACATAGTTCCCTTGAGGCAAGATAGATGGCCAGCCAATGAGGGTATTTGTTCAGACCGTACAACCAGAAGAAAGGAAGGATTGATCATCAGGAGGCTGAGGACAAGTGCTCAGGCTGAGGACAAATTCATTGTTTCTTCTATAGTTTCCAGTTTTCAGAACCTGTACTCATTGTCTGAAGGAGAGACTGGGTTGTCGGGAGTAAGTCCCTGCATTACCACAGGAAAAACACACAATGATTACCTTAGTTCTTCTGCAAAGGGACATATTGCCACTAACTTGGGTAGCCATACCCAAGGATTCAAAGCATCGTCATGGGCCCCTTGTCATAGTGGGGGCATATGTAGGCAAGTTAATAAATGGAATCATGGCCCTCGTCTGGCTTATAATGGGCACACTGAGTCCATGGACTCACCTGATAAGCATTTCCACAGTTGCCAAATGTATAATTGAAACGGGCATACTTGGTAGTTGCTGTAACCCCTATATTGGTTCCTTGTCTCTAGGAGAGCCAAGTAGAATCTTCTGAACCTGCTTACCTCCACAGGCTAAGATGGTAAATAAAAAACAATATCACATTCTGGAGAGAGTGGTAGAGATTAAGGCCACCTTTAAAAACTTAAAGAATGTATGAGTAGTGGTCCTTATCATATCCCCATTTAACTCACTATTCTGGTCTCTGCAAGAGTCCATCTGGATGACTCCTGAAGGATAACAGTGGATCTACCACAAACTCAAGCAAGTAGTAGCACCAATTGTAACTGTTGTGTCAGATACGGTATTTTAGAGGAGATTAACACAGCCTAAGGACATGATATGGGACCATTGACTTGGCAAATTCATTTCCTGCGGACAGGACGTTACAACCAGCCGACCCTATGGTATTAGATGTGTCAGGCTGGGAGAGTATGTCATGTTTATTTTATGGCAGGCTTCAATGAGAGAATCACAATGCTGACCTCTAAGGTTCTGGATCAAGGCCATCCCATTAGAAATGGATAACAAGAGTATACATTTGTTTATTTGCCCAGGGCTATTAAATCTCCTTGGCTCTCTATCCTAATACAATCTGAAGGGGCCCTGAATGATTATACATCATGCAATATATCACTCTGGTCCACTATATTGATGACATTATGTTAATTGGACCAGATAAGCAAGAAATGACAAGTATATTGCAGGTTTTGGTAAGACATATGCATTCCGAGGAGAGGGTAGATAAAGCTGGTAAAGATTTAGTGGCCCACTATGTCAGAAAATTTTTAGGGATAAAATGGTCTGGGACATGCCGAGTATATCCTTTCCAAAATAAAGAACAAATAATTGTATTTTATACCTCCTAGCATGAAAAAGGAGGAATAATGCCTGGTAGACTTCTTTGGGTTTTGAAGGCAGCTGTACACATACTGTACAACTGGGGATATTGCTTTGGCTCCTATACTAGGTGACACTAAAAGTTGCCAACTTTAAGTGGAATCTAGCGCCAGAAAAGGCCCTACAGAAGGTCTAGGCTGCAGTACAAGCAGTTCTGCTGACAGGACATTACAACCCAGCTGACCTTATGGTATTAGATGTGTCATGCTGGGAGAGTATGCCATGTTGATTTTATGGCAAGCTTCAATGAGAGAATCACAATGCTGACCTCTAAGGTTCTGGATCAAGGCCATGCCATCTGCAACTGCAGCAGATAATTATATCTTTTAAAAGAAGCCTTAGAATGCTGTTGAACCCTGGCAGAGATAAAGAAAGTGACCATGGGACAACAGGTAACCACGTGTCCAGAACTGCCCGTCATGAGCTGGGTTCCATCAGACACACCACATCAATAAAGATAGGCAAGGCCAGCAGCAATCCATCATAAGATGGAAGTGGTACATCAGAGATTGAACATGAGCAGAATCAGAGGACATAAACAAGTTGATTGAGCAGGGACTCTAGATCCCTGTGTCATCTACCACTATTACATCAGTGATTCTCCCTCAGCTCACACCTATGGCCATATTGGAGCATCCATCTGACCAACTTGCAGAGGAGAAAAAAGCCTGAGTTTGGTTCACAGGTAGCTCAGCATGTACATGGATGAAAGCCAAAAATGATCCACAGCTGCCCCAGATCCCCACAAAGGTGTAGCCTTGAAAGGCAGTACTAAGGGGAAGTGCTCCCAAAGGCAATACTTCAGGCCATGCATCTGGTCATCCACTCTGTACAAAAGAAGTGGCCTCAGACCACTGAACTCATTGACAATGGCAAATATTCTGGCCAATTAGTTAGGGGCCTAGAAGGAGAAAGATTGGAAGATTGGGGACAAGGAGTTATAGGATATAGGCATGTAGATGGACCTATAGGAATGAGAACAAAGTGTGAAGATCTTTGTAAAGCATGTTAACATCCATCAGAGAATATGTACCACAGAGTATGTGCTAAATAACAGAATAATCAACTAGGCAGAATGATTCAGCCTGTTGACATCAGCTAGCCTTTCATCAGTGATCACAGTACAGATAGC